GAGTTAAGAATAAGTTGTGTCTGGTTTAAGGCAACGACTTACCACCTTTTTTCAAGTGAGCTGAACTTGCTATTCTTTTTACTCATATTCATCATGTTAACAACAACAATGTTGATATTTGTTGTGGAAAAAAAAAAAAAATCATTGATCATATCAATTTCCTGCACCTGTTACCTCGTCCGGCGTCCAAATGTTAAACTGTATATTGACGTCCAAGTGGGGTTATGGTTAGACGTCCAAATGGTGGACTGAGTTTGCACGTCATGTCGACGTCCATAATTGGTCTTGGACCGACGGACGCAATATGGACAGGATCTGCACGTCCATCAGACGTCTAATGTTTAGTGGGGTGTAGTTTTTTTAATCCTTCTTTGGAAAAATTACAGTTAAAACCTGACTTCTCAGCAAGGGAGTAGATGATGAATTATTCTAAGTAAAAACAGAAATACATTCACAAAATTGGAACCGTGTTGTTCACAATTGATTGAATTGATTACTCATTTTCTTAAGATAAACTGATTTATGATTGAGGTACAATCGTGTCATATTGAGACTCATTTGAGAGCTTGCACTACTCTCATTTTTCTTATTGCTGAGATGCTAGAAAAGAGACTAATCTGAGAACTTGATTAGTGAGCAGTGTGAGACAGAACCATGTATATTTTTCATGGAGACATAACTGAGATAAGGGTTCGAAAGTAAGGATATCAAATTGAGACAGACTTGAGAGCGGCACAGTATGTGTCATTTTTCTCTTCACTGAGATCAGGAAAAGAGACAGAATTGAGAAAATTTCGAGAGCTCACATAATGCTCGCTGTGAGACTTATTTCTCAGGAGAGACGTTTGAGAAGAATGAGAAAACTACTTTAGTCTCGATTAGTGCTCATTTATATCTCGGAGATGGAAATGTGACATAAACGAGATCTCATCTTCATTTTGCTTTGCTATGGGAAGGATGATGAAAATATGGCAATAAATAAGAAACAAAAAAGCACAAAAACACACATTTTATTGTACCATGAGTTGCTGTAGTTTGATAAATTATTATCATGGATAGAATTTTCAGTGTTTGAATCATAAAAATAGACTCTGAATAATTAAATGTAGATGAACTTGTTCCCCTCCAATCCTCTGCAGCTTCTCTTCTGGAGGCATCACTGATCAGCTGCTCCTGTGAATCCTCCCACAGTGTTTCATCAGCAGCTGTAACCACAGTGACTGTGATAAAACAGGAATTAGCACAATCCATCTGATATGAAGCCAAGCGCTGAATACCACTTCCCTCCTCTTTGAAAAGGAGTCACATATCTGTGTTCAGGTTTTTGTACAGCCTCTGCTACACTTTGTATCACTGTGTCTCTACAGCACAGTAGTAGAGAGCTGTGTCTGCCAGGGTTAGCTCTCTGATGGTCAATCTAGTTGATGTAGCTGATGCTTGGGATCCATATTTACGTTTATCAGGAATATGTTCAGATGAGCCCCCTTTTCCTCGTTTCCAAAGTATAAACTGAGGAGCCTGAAGGTCAGAATGATGTTTGTACCAGTAAAGGTCAACATATTCATAATCTGTCATATAGTTGCATGCGAGTGTGACAGATTGTCCTTCTGTTCCACTGACTTCATCTTGTTCAGGAGAGATTGTGGTTTCAGCTATTAGTCCTGGAAAAAGTCGAGAAAATGAAGCCATCAGACTCATATTGTCCATGAGGCTGAGAGGAGACAAAATTTCACCTGTACAGTGTTACTCTGTGGACATTCACAACTTTCACAACCTTATTTTCATTCTCTTACTGCAACAAAGAGCAATAGTTGTTAAATAACATCTGTATATCTGGTTATTGCAGCAGGTCAAAGCAAACTGTGATGTCTATTCTTAAAACTCACCTGAAACCTGAGATAGAAGCAAAAAGATGTAAAGCAACATGTCTTTGGCGTTATTAAAGTCAGACACACAGCAAATGAACAATGTTCTTCCACTGCAGCACATTCATCAGTCACACTGTGGTTTGATTTCCTCAAACATTTCTTCCATGAGCACAGAAACCATCTGATTGGCTGAGTTGAACCCCAGTGGGAGGAACCAGTGAAAAACATTTTTAGATGTTGTTTGCTCCCAAAGTTGAACCAGTGGGATTCTCTGAATGTTCACTTTGTGTGTTGCGTTGTCACCTTGTTACAGATCTGATGTTGTGTGGTTACAGCAGCAGAACACTGAAAATGTGATGCTACAAGATATTCAGTCTTCTCTCAGACTTACAGTTTGGGGGATTTAATTGTAAGACAAGATGTTTTCATTGCAACTGTATGCCTGATAAACAACAGCTGCATCTGGATGATGAGAAGATAAAGATAGAGATGATGGTAAAGAATCTGATCAGAGTGTGTCTCCCTCTAGTGGATGCTGTTGAGTTTTCTGTTGTATTTGCTCCAAAGGTTTTTGTTCAGTTTTGTTGTTTCCTGTCACTGTGGGCTGCAGAGCACAGTAGTACACAGCAGAGTCTGACAGCTGGAGCTTCTGGATCTTCAGAGGAACTGACGTATCCTGGATTCCAGTATGAAATCTGTCTTCCTGGAACTCTGGAGCTTTATCCAAAGATGTCGAGTAAGTTTTCATCATGTACTGTGGAAACTCAGTTACTTCTTGTTTGTACCAGAACAAAGTAGGGCCTGTGTAATTTCAAAAGTACAGTCCAGTGTAACTGTGTCTCCTTCAGCAGCAATGACATCTCCTAGTGTTTTGTGGATCAAACTCCACTGTGAAAGTTTGTGTGTTTTCTGTACTTGAGTCCCAGTTTAGCTTCTCCCTTCTTTCCTCCTTCCTCTCACAGCTCTGACTAACAGTGTGTTTTTCTCTGCTGCTGCTCTCATTCATTCACATCATTTTCATCAGAGAAGAAACAGCACTGACTGAAACTTAACATATGAAGGTCCTTACTGTGTTAAATCTGATCAGATTATTTACTTGTATTCAGTCACACAGGATGGACATATTACCAACATGGTTAACACTTTGCCCAAGCACTTTATGTATGTTTTAACATTTGCCTCACATTCAGTCCTGTTTTCTATGTTTTAGCTTCTTGGCTGAGGGTCTTCATGAGTCGTTCCTAGAGCATCTTTGAGGGCTGTCTCAGCAAATCCCTCTGAATTTCTGTAGAAGGTAGGCTTCTTCATATGAGGAACAAGTTGGATTTCAAAAAAACTGGTGTGAGAAGGTGCTGAGAAAATACCTCAAGCCTTTGTGTGGGCTCGTGAAGGTCAGTGGATGTTATTATCAAATCCTAATTCATCTTTAGCAGCATCACTGAGCTCAACTTGATGTTGTCACATCATTCAGATAAGCAGCGTCATTATGTGTCTGCAGTTGATGTGTTTTCATTAAAATTGTTCACATCACCAAAATGTCCTGCAGGTTCAGCAGGTTAAATCATTCAGATTTAAACTGTATTTAAATACCAACAACCAGTTATCACCTTGTTCTACACATGAGACACACTTTCAGCTTAAATAGGTATGTTTCCATTACAACACATGATTAATTATGACACCTAAACAGTCTGGACTCAACACAAAATGATCTAATCTGTTCAATATCTTATGTCAATCTTTTTGGTGGTGATATGGAATCACTGATGAATTATCACTATCTTAATTCAAATGTACTAGTTGAGGAACGGCCTTTTGTTATCTAAGACATCATTTGATTTTAAAATTTGCTTTGATGTTGTCTTGAAACTGTTGGATTCACTGGTACTATTAAAAGAAGCACATGATTGGTGCATTTAGTGTTAGCAAAAAATACTGTAAGCTGTTTGATGTAAACAAAAGGACTGTTTGATCACTGAATCACTGCAAAATTAGCTTAAAGTATTTTATGGACATATACATAATTGCCACTTTGAAATTACTGAGAGTTGTATGCGGTTTTATTTGGTCACAATTGTGACTGAGAGTAAAGTGATTCTCAGCGTTGCCAAGACATGACAATATGTAATAAAGTGTGTCTCCCTCTAGTGGATGTAGTTGATTTTTCTGCTGTCTTTGCTCCAAAGGTTTTTGTACAGAGTTTTGCTGTTTCCTGTCACTGTGGGCTTCAGAGCACAGTAGTACACAGCAGAGTCAGACAGCTGAAGCTTCTGGATCTTCAGTGGAACTGATTTCTTGTTGACTTGAGCATCAAATCTGTCTTTATGGAACTCTGGCGCATTATCATCTCCATAAGCACCACGTCTTAAAATGTACTTTGGAAAGCCATTTACTTCTTGTTTGTACCACAGCATATTTAGTTGTGCTGTTGTGTAACTGCTCTCAAAAGTACATTCCAGTGTAACTGTATCTCCTTCAGCAGCAATGATATCTTCTGGTGGCTGTGTCACTTTGTCTTCTGCTTTGCACTCTGGAGAAGAAAACAACATGCAGAGGAAGACATGAGTCAATAAAAATGATTGATTAAAGGAGAACAATCAGCAGCTGTAAAGAGTTTTATTCCATGTAGAATTGATGGAACTTTGTGATCTACTAGTTTTTCTCAGTCAAACTCTGTTCATGTTAAATATGTCACCTACCTCTTATTGTGAGCAGAAACAAAGTGACAAACAGACTCAAGTTCACTGACAGCATCTTGAAGATGAAGACAATCTGTCTGTTTTGTGGATCAAACTCCACTTTGAAAGTTTGTGTTTTCTGTACTTGAGTCCCAGTTTAGCTCCTCCCTTCATCCTTTCCTCCTTCCTCTCACAGCTCTGACTAACAGTGTGTTTGTCTTTGCTGCTGCTCTCATTCACTCACTAAGTGAAGATCATTGGAGGAGAGTAACATGTACAACTGTGTGTCATCTGCATATGAGTGTTTCCTTATTGCATCACGAAGCAGAAGTATGTATATTGTTGAACCACGCCGGTATAACCCCTGTAACAGGGTTACTGGTCCAGCTCGCCATTTCTAGGGTTAGATTTTACCTGCCTACTGGCCCTTGACCTATGGGATTCTGTAGAACTGCTTAAGCTGGTGTCGAGGAAACTCACCTGGCTTCTAACTGCCTCAATCCAGACACCTACTCTGCTTCTTGTAGTAGTTTACTCAACTAAGTAGTCTCAGTAGTCAAATCATTCAACTAGACACGCCTGTTAGTGGCAGCGTTCCTCTTAAATGGATTAAGGACTTGATGATTTGCTCGGTTAAAATTTAGAGGTTTGGCACAACTAACCTACTCATGACTTAGAATACCTATTAAGAACCACTAAAAGGATCTCATGCACACAACTGACTAACTTCTCACCATCATCAGATGCTGAGAGTGATTCAATGAAATTTCAAACCAAATAATCTTTAAATGCAGGATTAAATATTTATTGCAAATCTTTAGCAGGGGCAATGCAACAGCTCTGGATTATTCTTTTAAAACATTTTAAGATATGATTAATCCAGTTGATTCGAGATAAAATTATAGAACTGAGTGTTAGGAGAAGCTCCTAATCTGTGTGGTGGAACCCAGAATGCGACAATAGACGTGGGTGTGGTGACAAATAAGGTTTATTGTGTAACACCCAGGGAGCGGGGAAAAGGGAGGTGTCTGTGCTCAAAGTCTCTTCAGTGGAGGAGGTGAGGGGGGAATCCGGGAACTCCAGGGGGGGTGTCCAGTGCGGGGAAATCCGTGCTCTAAGGGAGAGGTGCTCGGTGTGTGGAAAACCCGTGAAAACGTCCAGAGTGCTGAGGCTGGTGGCGGGGTCATAGTGGCTGGGCTGGAGACGGCGACAGGCGGTGGAGGCTCTGGGGTGGTGAAGGAAATAAGAGGCTCGGATTAACAACAGAACAAACAACAACTCGAAATCTAGAGAACAACAGTTTCTTTGGCCAATCTACCACCCATAGCAGAGTGATTCATCTGGCGCTGTAGTGTGGGGAGAAGCCGGCTTAAAAGCAGCGCTGATTGTAACTGGAGCCAGGTGTGGTGAATCAACGAGCGAGTCCTCCAAAGCATAGCTCCGTCCAGCCTGAAAACACATGCACAGCACAAACAACAGGAAACCAAGCAGTACACTGCCACACACTAATAGAACCCCAAAACTGAGCTTTTCTAAAATAAAAACCTAATAAGTAATTTAAGGAGGGAGAGAACCGGACATCCTGGCCATAGCTGGTTAGCTCAGCCCCACTCAGACCTGAGCTTGGAGGAACACTCTTCCAGTGAAGCAGCAGAGTCCTGATCCCCAGACAGAATCCTCGTGTCACGGGGAGATGAGAAGTCCTGACTCCGATCAGATCTGCAGTTCTTTGGCATCCATTTGGGGAAGGTAAAGAATACTTCATGCAGAACACAGAAAGGAGTTCTGCTGTTCTGCTGTTCTGCTGCTCCTCTTGAGTAAAATTTGCAGACCCATTGGGATTTCTTCAATCGGTGGAGGAGTTTTCAGCTCCAATGATGTCCCGTGAAGAACTCTGTGCTCTCCAACACGAGCAGTCTCCACGAGCAATCTCCGTCTGAAGTCTCTTTGTCAGGCGTTTTTATACTGTATTCAACTGTCCCCCACACACGTTTACTGCTACACACAATTTTTATCCTTAGCACATATACTTCATTACAAATACACATTTCTAATAGGCGCTTCACTTTTAGTCAATATGTGTGATATCGTTAGGATCTGATTCACCTATTTGGTAATAGCAAAGAGCACAGTAAATCAATCACAGGATACATGCTGGTAAAAAGGGGAACCATTAACTGCTGTAGCAATGAGTTCATTCTGTGAACATCCTGCAGACAGTGGCCTCATATGTCCCGACATGAGCTGTTTTAAGGACACTAACCTTTCTTGATCTCTTGACATTTTCACCCCTTCTCTCATCTTTAACTGCGCATCTTTAATTCAATGGTTACACAAAA